TCCACAAGTCTTAAAGTTGCCAAGGTTGGACACCCCTGTTCTAATCCCTCACGGATGTTTTTTTTTTTTTGTGGGCGTCTGCACGGTAAACCCCGGCAAAGTCGTTCGACTTTTGAGGGGGCCTAAAAGTAAATCAACGCATCCAGAGAAATAGATGCTTATATTTCTAAGAGCCCCGGGAGGTGTTCACGAGGCTCAAGCTAAGGGACCCTGTGACCGCAGCAGCCCCGTTTTCCTGGAGGGGGGGAGCCGAGTTCGCCTCCTTTCGAGCCAGGCGGCCCCTCCGCTTCTTACCTCTCCCGGCCGCCCCTTTGCTCCGCAGGTGGGCAGCCTCGGGCCTCCCTCGCACCAGCCCGGCCTTTCTAAGCCGCCGCCCCGCATCTCCTGCTGCTGTTCCTCCGGGCGCGGCGCTTCGCCTGGAGCCAAGGGCGGCCTCCGGGGCGGTTCGCAGGCGCCGAGGGTCCAGCCATGCGGCTCCGGGGGCAGCGTCGAGGCCGGCCTCTCGCCCGCGGTCCCCGGCGACGCACAAGGGGAGGCCGAGGCGGGGCGCTGGGCGGGCAGGGCGTCTCCCGGGCCGGCGGCGTGGAGCTCCCGCCCCGCGGAGGACATGCGGCGTCAGTCCGCCTTCGCTCAGGCGGCGCCGCGGCGGCGGCAGGCAAGAGGCGTGGCCGCCCCTGGAAGGACAAGAAGCGCCTGTTAGGCGGGGACGCCGCGATCCCTCTCGGGGCCCACGCGAGGCCTCCGAAGCCCTCCTGGGCCCCGGGAAAAGCCCCGCCGAGTGAACGCGGCGGCGCTAGGCTACCTCGGGGGGCAGCAGGCCGCGGCCCTGTGCGCCGGCTCCGTCATCATCGCGCCGCTCTTGCTCTACGCTGGGGGCTGCCGCTCTATGGTCGCGGCCCTCCTCATCCGGGCACTACCCGGGAATCATAGAGAGGTGAGGGGCGGTTTCCGGCCGCGGACTTCCGGAAGATTCCCCAGGCGAAGGCCGCGCTGGGTGAGTTGCTAAGGAAGCGGCTCGCCGCGCCTCCCGTCCCGCTCCGCAGCCAGGCGGGGAGGCGGCGGCGGCAGGACCCGCGATCTCCTCCCCGCCGTCTCGGAGGGAGTAGAAAGCTGGGACGAGGCGCTTCTTGTAGGCCTCGCCTGGCGTGGCGGCTTCCTTGCTCTGGGGGAGAGGCCTCTTCTGGGGAGAGCGAGGCTGGCTGCCCCGGGCTCTTGGCCCGAAGGAGGAGCAGAAAGCGGCGCCTTCCAGAGTCCGCCCTCCGCTGCCCGTGGTAGAAGCGGGGCCGCCGCAGGTCTGTCTCCCCGGCTTTGGTCCCTGAGGCGACGACGATCCTGGATAGGGAAGCGAGGAGGAGGATGGACGCAGCCGCGCAGGTGGGCCCTCCGGCCCCCAGATGCCAAGCCCGATTCCGGGCCCGCCTTTTGCACCCCTTCGGGGGCTCAGTTTCAGCCCCCCCCCCCCAGATAAAAGCATGAGGTCCCGCCTCTTTTTGATCCGGCAGATCACAGGCAGCTGGAGGGCTTTTTCTAGGGAAGAGGAGGGACACGCGAGCCACAACCTCCAGTCCTTTGAAGGCTGGGCTAGGTGGTCTTCAGGAGCCTCCCCAACCTGTGAAGGTGGCTGGAGGGATGGTAGAGCTCTGGATTATTTAGCAATAGCACTTAGATTTATATACAGACTCACAGTGCTTCCCTCCCTTCTCTGTTGCAATGGCCAGAAAGGAAGGAAAGAGAAAAGGAAGAGCAGACAGACTTATATTCCGCTTTATAGTGCTTTCCAGCCCCCTCTAAGCGGTGTACAGAGTCAGCCTCTGGCCCCCAACAATGTGGGTCCTCATTTTACCCACCTCGGAAGGATGGAAGGCTGAGTCAACCTGGAGCAGGTCAGGATCGAACCACCAGCAGTCAGCAGAGTTAGCCTGCAATCCTGCACTCTAACCACGGCAGGCAGAAAGGAAGAGCAAGAGCAATAAAGACTTATATCCCGCTTCACAGTGCTTTCCAGCCCTCTCTAAGCGGTTTACTGAGTCAACCTTGAGTCGGTCAGGATCGAACTGCTGGCAGTCAGCAGAAATAATCTGCAATGCTGCTTTCCAACCACTGTGCCACCACAGCTCATTTAGGTGACCCTTTTCCCTGCAAAGGGGAATCCTGGGGGCAAAAACTTCCTTTTGCTTCAAAATAAGCTGTTTTATCCACAGATTGCTCTTTGCAGCCTGGCCAAAAGGAATCAAATGTAGATTTCCAAAATGGGCTGTGCTGTCTATGAACGCAACCTTATAAAAGTCTAAGCTGAGATCAGGCAGAGGATCTTAGACTTTGATGTGCAGAGGGTTGCCTCCCCCCTCTGCCTTGGTGAGTGAGAGACCTCTCCCAAATAACTTTTCCTCACCTCTTGTGCCCTCCTTACACTGGGCCACGTAGATGCCCTGTCCTGAGATTCAGTAATATCCCTGCCAAGATTATTTGGGATGTGTTCAGGTATTGAAATTGAACCAGATGCACATGTTCAGTTGAATTGCCCAAAAGATCATTGTTGGAAGTTTGAGGTAATCTCCCCTCTACCTGTAAAACTTTTGAGTTGGTCCTAATGGGCAGCTAAAACATCACTATTATGAAGTTTCCAAAAAAAAAATTATCAAATTTTCTGCTTGTGGAAATTGATCAGAACAAGCCATTTGATCAGAACAAAATCCAATTAGGCATATCTGTTAGGAAAAGGATTTTTATCTTGAATGCTTTGTATTTTAATTATTTTTTTAGTCTATGACCATACAGAAATAAACAATATATAAAGCTGTTGGCACCTGTGATTTTATTTTGCTTTGCTTTGGCTTCCTCACAGAATACAATGGAAGAGGAACAGCTTCTCATGTATTACTTGCTTTTATTTTGCGGAAAGTAGAAGGTTGTGTCTAATGCCTGATTTCTGATAATCAAGAAGAACAAGAATTTGAAATCAAGATGAGAACCAACAAAGTTTACAAGCTTGTCATACATAAAAAAGGCTTCGGAAACAGCGGTTAGTAGCCTCGTTGAAAGTGGCTGGGCCTTGGGGTGCCCTGAAGGTGTAGGAAAACACTAATAAACCTTTTGCCCTTGGGTGCAGGATCTTCCAAGCTCTGCAATATCTGGACTGCAACAAGGCCTTTTAGGACAAATTTGAGGTTCCCAACTTAATGATAACACTTGTAAAGCAGCTGTTTAAAGTAGCACATTTTTATTTGGAAAGATTGCAGTCTGTTCAGTGTGGGGTGTTATCCCTAATAAGGTTGCTTAAGATGTTAATCTTATTTATGTTTATAACGAGCAACTTTATAATGTATTCCAGCATATGCAGGGAGGCTAAGTTTATGCCTGCTTAGTTTATTCTTAGGATGAGGTTTGGATTTGAAGTGAACGCCCCTATTCTCAGTTGGGATGCTTTCTCAATTTAAAAACACTCATGGCTGCCTCTCTCCTATGTTAAGCTTCATGAGCTGACAGCTTGACTTTAGCAAGGTGTGGGGTGGGGGAAGTGGGAAAGATAGAACTAAGGAAGAAGGGACGAATGGGTGGAATGGTAGCCCAGCTGAGCCTTGTGAAAAGCTTCAGCCAGCCAAGGTAAACTAACTATGTGCAGAGCTGGGAACTGAGAACCTGTTTCCTGAACAAGCACCTGATTGGACATTTGCAAATAACCGGAGGGGGCAGGATGGAGGGGAAAGGAAAATTTACTTTGTATTGTTTACAGAGGAAAAAACCTCAGAAAAAACCACCCTAAGCTTTAGTAAAGTATGTTATTGGCAAAAACAAACGGCCAGGAGTCTTTCTTTGCTGGATGACTTGACTGGGACATGGTTGACACCCTCTAGGTTTTCAGAGTATTTCGCTCACCCTGGGACTCATTCCATCTCCGGTTTCTCAGCTTTAGTGGCATTGAGGATAACTTTGGAACTGCTATGAAAGTTGCTCTAAGCTACAAACCTCTACAAGGGTTCTTTTCCAACTGTTTCCTTTGCAGATGATGAACTTATGGTGAACCCCAAAGTATTCCTTCAGATCAAGTTGGGAGATATAGTGGAAATAGCACACCCCAATGATGAATACAGGTGACTCTCCTTGTGGATGGATCTGCTTTGGGACATAATGCATGATGGGGGGGGGACAGTCCCACAACTTTGCAATGGGGAGATAAAAAGGCCTCAGCATCACAAGGTGAACTGGTATTTTTGCTTTAGTTGGAGAAAAGTGGAAGCTGTTGGGAAGTCAGGGAGAGCCAGTCAGGTGGAGAAGACCTTGTTACTATTGGTTACTATTGGTTTGTTTCAAAAGGTAGATATTGCCTGCTTCCATTTGGTGGTAAAGAAAACGTCAGTGTGTAATAATATATCTATAAACAAACTTGTAGAAACCAAAAACAAAGCTTGCGGGAAACAAAATGTTCCTAAATGGTGACCGGTAGGACTACTTTGGGAGTTTTACTTGGCTAGAAGCATGAGAAATTTGAAATTCTTGAGGATCTTCTTGGCTGAAATGCTTTTTGGTTGCTGGAGAGATCCTGTCCCTGATTGTCACTCTTGCTTTCCAGTCCACTCCTCCTGCAAGTGAAGTCGCTCAAGGAAGACTTACAGAAAGGTGGGATTTTTCTCTCTGTTTTGAAAACTGCCAGGATGCCCTGGCAACCGCTAGTTCTCGTTAATCGACAGTCAATAACTCACTAACCAGAGAGAGCAATTTACTATTATATTCATTTGATTTCTATTCCCTCTTTTCTGCAGGAGCTCAAAATAAATCATGTGCCCTTGCCTTCTACATTTCAACACACAGTGCTGACCCTACTGGTGAAATAGATTAGATGGGACTAGATCAGGCCCAGCTATGATCTTCCAAGGCTGCGTGTAGAGGATTGTTCATAAGCAAAGAGAAGAGCTGGTCCGTGCCATAAGCTCAAAACCGAGATTGGTCCTTAGGCAGTTTGCACAAATTTGTCGGTTGGAATTAAGTTCCCTAATTCACAAAAAAGGTTCCCTTAAGAGCACTTGAAAGAATCTCTTTATCAGGAAAGAGCAGAGGCAGCCAAAGATATAATCCAGTTCTAAGGGTCTAGAATTAGGGATATCTAATCCGCAGTCTCTGGGCTGCATGTGGCCATGGACAGCTAGTAAGATCATAAACTTTTAACATTGTTATGTGACATACACATTATATTATATATTTTATATGCAGCCGAAGACAGCTGCACTTCACTCAGGTAAGCCAAAAGTTTGGACACCAGTGGTGCAGAGTATAATATTTGCTAAGATCTGGTTTTGGGAGATCTGAAAGAAATCAGGGGTTGTTGTTTTTTTCTTCCCAGTCCTGGAGCAGGTGTCATAATGAGTCCCAAGAGCAGCCTGGGCTCCAACAGCTGATCCCTGATCAGTTGCTTGCAATGAGACTTGAGCCTGGTAAGGCTCAATGAGGATAGCTTGAAACAAGGATCTCCAACCTTGGCAACTTTAAGACTTGTAGGCTTCAACTCTCAGAGTTCCCCAGCTTTGCTAGCTGAGGAACTCTGGGAGTTGAAGTCCACAAGTCTTAAAGTTGCCAAGGTTGGAGATCCCTGGCTTTTGAAAGGTTAGCCTTCTCGTAATTCAAGCCAGGTGGGAATTTGCATAGTTCTTCATGGAAGAACCTCCAGTCTGATCACTGCAGAGTTTAGATGATGACATTTATGTCAGACTTCATTTCCCAAATAGCAGGCATAGTTGATTGTTTCTGGAACTGTTATGCCATTTTCATCCTGCAGTGGGGTTGGCTCTCAAGCCATCTTCATAGGAAGATGGGTTCCTGGCTTGTCATCATCCTTCCAGGTCAAGGTCAGAAGCCAGGTTTTCTTCATCATTTGCTTGAGAGTTGCCTTTTTGGACTGGAGGTCACTCTGGGAATAATTTAGATCCTGTTGCAAGGCAGTTGGGGAGATTTTGCATCTGGTTTGCTGCCAGCACTGCCAGTCCGAAAACATTTCACCAGTTGCTGTGTGGTGACTCCTTGCCTTTTATTCTGTTTTTCTGGAGCCTATGAGGGTGCTTCTGAAACACAGATTGGAACCAGTCATTGTTTGCAATTTCTAAGCAAACATTGGAATTCCTCTGATTGAAGCAGTTGATGCTGGAGGCTGTTGCTTTGCTCTGAATAGGCCAAAAAAGAGAAGTCAGATGAATAGGAAACAAAGCAGACCCTGAAAGAGATACCTGTAAGCCCAGCATCATCCCTTGATAAGGACCCCAGAGATAGGTCAGTGTTTTTATCATTGAGTGTTGCTTTGGCTGCTTGCTCATAAGTCAATCATTAGTCGGTGGACAAGCTCTTTATACCCTGATAGGCAGGTGGTCAGTTCCTCTGAAGCAATGTTTCTCATCTTAAACTCATTCTTAAACTCTAGCAAGTTTAAGATGTGTGGAACTCCCAGAATTGGACAGCCTGGAATTGAGGAGAGGAATTCTGGGAATCGAAGTTTACCCATCTTAAACTTGCCAACGTTGAGAAACACAGCTCTGATGTTGACGCTGGACTGATTCCACAGAAGGCCTCCTCCAATTCTCCCAACTTTCTCTCCTTTCTTTGCACAGAAACCATCAGTGTTGATCAGACTGTTGCTCAGGTGTTTCGACTGAGGCCCTACCAGGATGTTCACGTCAACGTTGTTGACCCCAAGGTAGGTGAGCTTCTGCTGCCCTTCAGCTTTCGCTAAAGATGCTTGGATAGTCTTCCTGCTGTAGGAGATGGCCAGGCTGAGCCCGAGGGAGGCTGACTTCCTACGCTCCCACCAGAGATCTAAGTCCGGCTCACCTTGAATTCCTTCTGTTCTTAACTCCCACTAATTTCCCTTGGTTGTTAGTAATTCAGGTTCTTGTAGAGAACTTAAGCTTGCCATAAACCTTTATACACATTTGAACTGCTTGGTTCTCCTGATTTCTCTGGTGCTTGACACCTGCAGAACCTTCTGATGAGCACAGTGGTTTTAAGAGTAGCAGAGTCTGGGCTGTAAGTCAAATGCCACCACAGACCTGCATTTCCTTTCCCAGCCTAGCTGCCAGTCCTGCCTGTTTCTGATGTGTGCTTTGGTGTTTTGCCCTATATGGCAGATATGTTCACACAATTCAGCCGTCCTCTGCTTTTTCTTCTGGAGATTGCCAAGAAGTTAAGATGGCTAAATTTATGAAATTGGTAAAATCCTCTGGTGCTCAGTAATACAGGATTTCCCAGCCTTGCCAACTTTAAAGGTGTGTGGACATCAACCCAGAACTACTCAGACAGCCGTGCTAGCTGAGGAATTCTGGGAGTTGACATCCAAGCATCTTAAAATTGGCAAGGTTGCGAAACCCTGCAGTTTATAGATAAAGAATTGTTGTTAGTTAACAAATGATTGAGTGCTGTGGGTGTTTTATGTCTTGAAATGTTTTGGAAAGGGAAGTAATATGCAGATAGTTTGAAGGGTTGGAAAAACTGCATCCAGACGTATCAGCAGAAACAGAATGGTTGGAGGCAGAAATCATAGTCCCCCTGTGTTCCTTTTTAGGATGTGACTCTGGATTTAGTGGAGCTGACATTCAAGGACCAGTACATTGGACGCGGGGATATGTGGCGCCTGAAGAAAAGCTTGGTGAGGATCAAATCTGTTGCGAACGTTTTAAACTGGATTTCTGTATGAAGTAAGGGTAGGACTGGATGATCTAATAGTTCCCCTCCAACTTGGAATTGAGCAGTTGACATCTGTAGAGACATTTAGTTCTGGCCTTGGGAAGGAAAGAGAAGAACAGTTGCTTAGAACTGGGAAAGTAGAAAATGTGAGAAAGAGACCTAGAGCAGCCCTGCTTTGTCCTTAAAAGTGGGGCAGTGAGGATTATGGACAGTTTTTCAAGATGTAATTAACACACCCCAAATCAGTAAAATAGTATAGGTAGTTTCTTGACTTGTGACTTAGCTGCAAAAGGCAAGTTATGACCCGGCCATTTGTAGCGTCCTGTGATTGCATGACTGCATTTTACAAGTTTTGCTGAAAATTGGAAGTTATTCCTCATTTTCAACTAAACCATGCCATCAGTGGTGCAGTGGATGGAGTGCTGTACTGCAGGCTATTTCTGGTGCCTGCCGACTGCCTGCAATTTGGCAGTTCAAATCTCACCAGGCTTGAGGTTGACTCAGCCTTCCATCCTTCCCAGGTGGGTAAAAGGAGGGCCCAGATTATTGGGAAACAAGAGGCTGACTCTGTAAACCGCTTAGAGAGGGCGGTAAAGCACTGTGAAGCAGTGTATAAGTCTAAGTGCTATTGCCGTTGGGAACAGTGGGTTTGCTTAAGGATCACAGTGTTCATTTAATGACCAATGCAAAGGAGTCTGTAAAATCCGGTTGGCCGTGTGCCTAGGTTACCTGTATTCTGAGAATCCCTCCGGGGTCTGTTTCTTGACTTGGCTTTACTTTGAAGGGCCAACAGAGCTTGCAGCTCTACTCGGGAAACAATGTTGAGTCCTCCATCTTTCAACACGATCTTGTAAAACTGAAGTGTGAGGTAGGTGGGTGGGTACTGCAGGACTGAGATGTTGGCCAGTAGTTTGGATTGAACTGAGATGGTGGGGATCAAAGGCAGGGAAGTGGGGGTGTCATTAAGGGACTGCCAGGCTCCAGTAGAAACACCCCCTTCTCTCAGAAACCCTGGCTTCTGACCTTTAGCAAAAATGATCTGAATATTTCCCGACTAGAAATGTCATGCTGGCTAGAAATGGACTTGCTTCTTAAATCGTTGTTTACCTTCTGCAAGTGCAAATTCTCTTGGGTGCAAATTGTTCCATTTCTCTTTTTCCTTTCTTTGTCACCTCAGGTTGGCACGTGTGCTTACATCACTCAGAAAGTTGAATATGCGGGTATTCGGTGAGTGAGCAGCTGTGCCTTCCTCCCTTCCACAAGTGTGTAGGAAGGAGGTTGAGTTTTATCAGGAATTAATGCCTGTGTCAGGGCTCCGGCAGTTACCATGAGTCTCTAGCTGAACTTCCAAAACTTAAAGAAGATTTATTAGGAGTAAACATGCCGGCGCGGCCTGAGACACATCATTCATTGATACCCTTGACCCTGGTTTTCCCCCACCCTCTGGGTGTATCATAATTCATATTCTCCAATGGGACACATCCATAGCCAAGAGTCATCAATCATGCTCTCCAGTTGGAATTTTGCGTGGCAGAAACTTCGGTCACCTAGAAACAATCTTTGAAAACATTTATGGAATGCAACCTGCCCACTGCTCCCCCTCTCCCTTTCTGTTGGCAACTCTAAAAAGACCATAGAAATATTTTATGAGTTGACAGCCTGTCTCCAAATAGTCAAGTCTTATCTTGGAGGACAGAGTTTGGCTGTTTCCATTCCCAAAGAACTCTCTGTGGTTCTTAGTGAAGTTCACACCCTAAACCAGTCCCATTTACTTCAGTGAAACTTCCTCCCAGAATACAGGCACGGGCTCTCATGCCAGATCTCACAAGAGGAGGGAGGTGGCATCTGCTCCATTCTCAGCTCTTCCTCCTTGGTCTAGACTTCAGGGAGAAGTGCTTGGAGCTTGTTTTGCCCGGGGCTGGCACACTTTGGATCTTCAGTTGACTACAGAGCCAACTGATGAAGCCTGTTTGCCCTGCCAACAATCCTGGCATCTTAGCTCCGTAGTCACTGAGTAAGGAGGCCAGGATGAATGGCAGCTGAGAATCTCCTGGGGGATGGAAGTTTTGGAATTTATTTTCTGTTTAAAGAAGGAGGTTTAAAAGGCACCATGTTGAGGTTTTGATAATTAGTGAAGGTAACATGTAGGCAGATCAGGTTGATGAATTTGATGGGCAATCTCAGGAAGATACATTTGGGCAGGGGCTCCTGCAGTGGGGTCAAGTACCCTCAGGCTGATGAAAGCAACCATGCCACAATACAAACCCTGCCCTCCCCCCCTTGGTACGCATGTCACAATGCCAAGCAAGTTGGAAAAGGGTGGTGGGGGGAGCTGGCACAACGATGACATTTTTGTCCTTTTGATAAAAGCAGCAGGAGCCCACGAAAGCTCTGGATTCGGGAGGGAGATCTGCTTCCGGAGGGAGAGAAAACTTTAAATTCCCCTCTTGCTTTTCTTTATCTGCCTCTGGGCCAGCCGCTCTCCCACTTTTCACACCCCAGCTTTCGCAGCAAGGTTTTTCCCCATGTTTTCAGTCTTCTCTCTCTTGGTTTGTTTTCAGGGCTCAGGCAGGTGAACTGTGGGTCAAAAGTGAGAAAGTCACCTGTGGCTACATCAGCGAGGATACTCGGGTAGGACTCTTGACGTGAGATGTTTCCTTGGCATTTCTCCCACACTGAGCTTCAGAACCCCTGCCGCTAAGAGCCAGAGCAGCCGCTTCCCAGCGTTCCTTCTGCAGGAGGTCCCTGGGGTTGCCTGGGGGCTAAGGGCCCCCTCAGTTCCCGTGGCCGTGGCTCCCTCTTGCCAGGCAAGTGTCGCTGTATTTCCGTGCTGCTGAGGAATCGGCCGGCTGGCTCTCTCAGACTAACCTGCCATTAGGGCAAATCTTATTCATGGAAAGCATTTGAAGCAAGAATGTTGTCCTCCCAGCTGTGAGTGCTGATGTTCTTGTAGCAGCCCTGCCACTGCAGTCCCACAAGGTAGCTTCCAGGTTCTGTCTGAATCCAGCGCCTCAGCGACCCCCAGAAGCAAGCCAGGTTTGGCCAGGCTGATTCAGAGGGAATCCTTGAGGCCAGGCTCAGCGCCTTCCCTTCTGGGTGCCTTGCAGGTGGTGTTCCGCTCGACTTCCGCCATGGTTTACATCTTCATCCAGATGAGCTGTGAAATGTGGGACTTCGACATCTATGGTGAGGATCCCTCAGTCCTCGCCCATCTGGGTCGAGCCTCAGCTTGCTTGGCAACTCGTCTACCCCATCTACTCCTTTGATGGAGGAAGGGTGGAGTTTCCCCTTTTTTTTGTCAACTTCAACAGTAACAAGGAACTAGAACATCCATGGGTATAAGTTTAATTTGTCTACCCCAAGCATAAATTATAAAGCTGTAAAAAATGGCATGAAGGAATCGCAAAGGAAAGCGGGAAGCTGTTTTCTTGGGGAATAATTAACCAGCCCCTTCCAGAGATTCAGGCAGACTCTGGTCCCAGTTTTGCCCACAGATGCCATCCCTCGAGGCCTCTTCAGAACACTCGGCCCCTGGGCTCCAGAGGACCCATTTCGGTCCGGCTCAGGGCTTTGGCTGCCAGAGCAGCTCTCACTATGGGTGAAAAGATGCAGGACTGGTCCAAGAAGGCCCCCAAAGCCAGCTGGAGGAACCTGAGTCTGAAGGGCCCGGGAGAGAAGCCCCGCCGGGAGTCCCAAAAGAGGCGAATCCACAGCCAGGCTCTGCCACTAAGGAGGGCCGAGGTCGGGCAGAAGCAGGGGGTGGGGGATGCTACCGGTTCTGCCCGGCTCTATAGAACTGGTAGCTCTGAAGAGCAGCAGACACCGAACGGGTTCTGTGTTTGCTGCTGTTGGGCCCACCTGCCCTCCCGGGCTCTTACCTGTCCTTTATTTCCTGCTTTTTCAACCTCAGCTGCTTGGCGCAGCACAGCTGAGGTTGAAAAAGCAGGAAAAAAAGAGGCTTTCCAAATGCTGTGCACCTGCATGCAGCGCTTTTCAGCTCTCTGGGCAGTACAGCTTAAGGGTTTTTGTTTTACACACGCACGCGCAAAACATAGTCGCTGAACCGGTAGTAACTCTGGTTGAATCCCACCCCTGGGAAGAAGGATGGAGTCGAAGGAAGCTGCCCCTCAAAGGGGTGTGCCTGCAGCCCTAGGAGGGCTTGAGGGGAGCCAGGAGTGAGCAGGAACTGATGCCCCGTCTCTTGGCCCTGGGGCCCAGTCTGTCCCAGGCAGGGTCTGGCTGGGTGAAGAGCAGAAAGGGGGCGGCCCAGCCTTCCCTCTCACCCTTGGTTCTCTTTCCTTTGCAGGAGACCTTTACTTCGAGAAGGCCGTGAACGGCTTCCTAGCTGACCTTTTCACCAAGTGGAAGGTAGCAGCTCCGTGGGAGCAAAGCAGAGCTTCTAACTGGCCTCAAGGGAGCCTCTTGTGGCCCTTCCCCAAGCCAGCCTTCCTCAGGACAAGCCCTGGAGGCTCAGGCCGAGATGGGAGGGCTCTCGGGGGGAGCCCAGGGGTTGGGGCTGGGGACTCCGGCGAAGCCCCTTTCTTGCTCAGTGGGGAATGAAATGGGGGGGGGAAGGAGACCCCCCCCCCCCGCCCCCTGTCCCTTGACTCCCCAGCAGAGGAAAGGTTCTCTTGGGCCACTTCAGGCTTTCCCCCCGCTTGCTGTGGTCAGAAGGAAGAATCTTGTGCTGGTTCTTCCTGTGAGTTGGGGGGGGACCTTAAAAAGGCCTCCCCCAGCTGCATTCGATGAGGCCTTCGATGAATCCTCCCTCTTCTCCCCTCCCAGGTCCTTCCCGCTGGGGGGAGGTGGGTGGGCTGAGCAACATCTGGGCGTGTCAGAGGGGCAGTTTCTGTGGATGGAGCCTGTGGTGCCCGTCAGGAGTGGCTCCCCAGGGCTCTGATCTGCTTTTGTCCTGACAGGAGAAGAACTGTAGCCACGAAGTGACGGTGGTTCTCTTCTCTCGGACCTTCTACAGCGCCAAGTCATTAAGTGAGTCTGGAGAGGTGCTGGCCTCTCTCTCTCTCTCTCCTTCCTCCTCCTCCTCCTCCTCCTCGGGATGCTTAAAGCAGCAGCAGCAGAGAGCAGCTTCCTCTTATACCTGGCTTGGTTTGTTTCTAGATGAATTTCCAGAGTTGCATCGTTGCTCAGTGCAACAGGACCACGAAGGGCACTTCTATGAAGACTTTTACAAGTAGGTGTTCCCTGTGGCTGAGCAGCGTCTCTTCCGCCTGCCTGTCAGGGGCTCGGTGAGAAGCCCTTGTCCTCTCTGGGGAACCGACAGTTTGCCTTCCTTCATAAAGCAGCTTCACCTACACAGACCTCGCTTTACAGCTGGCTGGCCGTGCAAAGTTATAATGCATCCCCCTCCCCAAGCTATTTATGACCTGGTTTTGAAGTTCTGACGTCCCTGATTCCTGACTTGGAAGAAGTGGAGAAGGTTCTCTGTGGCATGAGCTCAGGCCCATTGGCGGGGGAGTGGGAGGTGTGGATCATTCCGCACCTGGCTCCGTCCACTTGGGTCAGGGCAACAGATTCGGGGGACTGTAGCCACCCCTTTAAGAAAGGGATTGGTGCAGGCCCACTTGGGGAGGTCACCTCTCGGTCTAAAGGGGCCAGGCAGCTTCTGCCTGGTCTACTGTCTTCTGTCTTTAGAGAAGATTTTGCAGAAGGTGGTCGGAAGGTGCCGTTGGAAGCAGATTATCAGCAGCCCTTGCAGGAGGCCCAGATACGGAAGAGAAACTTCTTCTCCTTTTAGATCTTAAGGGGCTGTCAAGTAACAAAGCAAAATTTAAAAAAAAACCAACCTAGAATAGTTTATTTGGCCAAGTGTGATTGGACAAAATTTATTGCAGGTGGGTTGGTGGATGCCAGCCTCCCCATCTTCTGCAGTTGGGCATTTACAAAGAAGACTGAAAACACTGCAACTGGAAAATCTACCTAAATTTTAAATATCTGATGTTTTTTATGGAAGCAGGACACTGCTATTTGGTCATTTTATGTTTTTTTTTTTTGTTAATTTTAGAATCGTGACAGCTATAAAGTTGTTGCTGTTCTGAAAAGGTCCAGCATTTTTCTCTTGCAGATTCTGAATTTGAAGCAGCTTAAGATTTCTGTCCCTCCCTATAATTTCCCCGCCTCAGCCTGGGCCTCTGTAGGCTCCTGCCCTTTTCCTCATTCAGGCCTTTGTGCTCGTTCTGGGCGGCTCACTCACGATGTTCTTTGCAGGGTTGTGGTTCAGAATGAACGGCGAGAGGAGTGGACTTCTCTGCTTGTGACTATTAAGAAGCTCTTCATCCAGTATGCGGTTCTGGTGCGCCTGGAGAAGGCAGGTGAGGTGTGATGGGCGGCACAGGAAGCCCTTGACTTATAACCATTCATTTAGTTTGAAGTTACGATGGCACTGCAAAAAGTGATCTATGGTGGATCGTTGGACTTACAAACATTGCAACATCCTCCTCTGTTCTGACCTAGGCTTGTTCCCAAGATCACGAAGCCGACTCCTCGTCCCGATAAAACCCCTTTTATTTAGGTTAAAGTGAATTCCTCTCCAGCAAAGTCCCGGACAACAGTCTTTCAAGAGATTTCACAACTACAGACCTTGATCAGGCTTGGAGAGTTGCCAGGCCGATATCTCCCAAACACCACGTTGTAGCAGAAATTATTTGTCAAGGAGTCAGGAACAGATCTTCACCCTAATGAATTGAACTAATTGTCTCCTGCAAACCCCACTCCCCTTTCGCTCCTCTTTTATTCCCTATGGGAGGGGCCATTTACTGACCACCTATGGCTTTAGTCCCAATTCGGCCCTTGTTCCTCAGCTGTTCCCTTCTTCTGGCCACTCTGCGCATGCGCACACTGGAAACAGGCTCCAGCTGTTCTTCTGCCCCACTGATCTCTGAAGGCAGCTGATAATTGTCCCTGGCCCCATCTCTGCCTCCGACACAGAGCCCTCTTCAGAGCCTTCCCTGCCAGACTCCAGGACTGGCCCATGTTCCTCCCCAACCTCCTCACTGTCCGAGTCTGCCATCAGCTCTGCTGGCTGCTGCCGGGCCACAACACCGTGATCCTGTGATCAGAATTTGGGCGCTTGGCCGCTGGGATATATTTATGACCATTGCCATATCCCCTGGTCACGTGATGGCTATTTGCCACTTTCCCAGCCAGGTTCCATCAGGCAAAGGCCGTGGCGAGGGGGGAGCTGGATTTGTTTTAACAACCATATGATTCACGTAACAGCCAGGGCAAAAAAGGTTGTAATTGGGCAAGACTCCCTTACCAACTCCCTTCCTTAGCGATGGAAATCCTGGTCCCAATTGCAGTTATAGGTAAAGGACTACTAATGCTGCCTTCTGGTTTGATTCCACTCTGTGGCTGCTGCTGCTGCTGGGAAGTTGGCCAACGTAGAGTTACGCAGCAGTCATGTCCGTGGGCCCCTGGAGGAAGCAAACCAAAGCTTCTCTGGCTAACAAGCTGCAGGCTTGTGTGGTTGACCTGGCAAGTCCAGGGAAGGAAGGAGCTGTGGGGAAGGTGTGAAGGGCGTTATCTCCTCCCTGGTCAGGTGCCTCTTTGCTGGAGCCCGGGCCTTGCGAAGGCTCCTCTGGCCTGTGGGGTGCCCCCCCCCCCCATGAAGGGCCTTGCCCAATATCTCCCTTGCCACAAGGTCCACAAAGACCATTTTCCCCGGGCTTCTCAACCTTGGTGGGACTGGTCCATGCTTGTTTTTGTGCTTCTATTGTTTACATGCATCATGGTTAAAACTTAAAGCAATGAGCAAAATAATAATAAAGAATGCTGGTTTTATCTCCTTTGTTTCTTCCTCCTGCTGTTCTGGATGGTGAACAATTAGAGAATTTCCCACCAGGATACAACTCCACCTCTGCTCAGGGAAATTATTTGGAGGCCATAAACCTCTCGTTCAATGGTGAGTTTGGGAAATTCTTGTCTTGCTGTGGTACGTTCTTGAACCAGGAAGGGCCCCATTGCCTTATTTATTTATTTGTATCCTGCCTTTATTAGTCTTACAAGTAACTCAAGGCAGTGAACAAATTCAGCACGCCTTCCCCCTCCTATTTTCTCCACAACAACCGCCCTGCGAGGTGGGCTGGGCCGAGAGAGAGGGAGTGGCCCCAAGATACCCAACCGGCTTTCATGGCTAAGGAAGGACTCGAACTCACAGTCTCCTGCTTTCTATCCTGGTGCCTTCACCACCAGACCAAATTAAAGAAGAGATGGGGCAGGATAGACGCCTCAGTGACACTCAGTATTTCTTTCTTTGGGGAATTCCATGTTGGTTTTTCTTCAAAGGAAATCCCGAACTGTTGGCCAAAAATTCTGCGGGGTTTTCTGATGTTCCTCCGATGTGGCCAGGCCAGTAGTGTTGCCTTATTGTCTCCCTGAGCTGCAAATGCGGCCTCCTGAATTAGTCTTTTGCAGGCAAACATGACCAAGTCAGGCCAAGGCATGTGGGCTGTGAGAAAAATCACAAAACACAACTAGAGACAGTAAACAAGAGCTTTATTATTAAGCTTTTGCAAAAGGGAATTCTGTTAATAGCAGAAGACATCTTTCCCCAGGAAGGCTGGAGAATATATACAGTGTCTGCCCCTTTCCTGGATTCACAATCTATCCAACTATGTAATTCCCTATGCCACACCCATCGCATACCACCTGTTTCCTTTTCTTTGGAAACCACCCTTGTTCTCATGGCATCTTCCTGTTATGTTCTTCTGAACACAATGGATCATTAACCAGTTCTGTTAATGTCAGGACAACCCAGCCTTTCTGACATGAAATCTCAAGCTAAAATATAAACCCCCACCCCAGCCAAGGACATAATATTTTTAACTTTACAGAATAATAAGTTACAAAACATGATATGCTTATATGTTCAGATATCTTTCTAGAAGGTCACATTATAAACAAAACTGGAGTCTCTTTGGTTCTATACTTTCTTAGGTGTAACAGGCAACTACAGGTGAAACTCAAAAAATTAGAATATCATGCAAAAGTTCATTTATTTCAGTAATGCAACTTAAAAGGTGAAACTAATATATGAGATAGACTCATTACATGCAGAGCAAGATAGTTCAAGCCGTGATGGGTCATAATTGCCATGATTACAGCTCACAGCTCATGAAAACCCCAAATCCACAATCTCAGAAAGTTAGAATATTGTGAAAAGGTGCAATATTCTAGGCTCAAAGTGTCCCATTCTAATCAGCTAATTAAGCCATAACACCTGCAAAGGGTTCCTGAGCCTTTAAATGGTCTCTCAGTCTGGTTCAGTAGGAATCACAATCATGGGAAAGATTGTTGACCTGACAGTTGTGCAGAAAACCATCATTGACACCCTCCATAAGGAGGGAAAGCCTCAAAAAGTAATTGCAAAAGAAGTTGGATGTTCCCAAAGTGCTGTATCAAAGCACATTAATGGAAAGTTATGTGGAAAGGAAAAGTGTGGAAGAAAAAGGTGCACAAGCAGCAGGGATGACCGCAGCCTGGAGAGGATTGTCAGGAAAAGGCCATTCAAAAGTGTTGGGGACTTTCACAAGGAGTGGACTGAGGCTGGAGTCAGTGCATCAAGAGCCACCACACACAGATGGATCCTGGACATGGGCTTCAAATGTCGTATTCCTCTTGTCAAGCCGCTCCTGAACAACAAACAACGCCAGAAGCGTCTTACCTGGGCTAAAGAAAAACAGAAGTGGTCTGTTGCTCGGTGGTCCAAAGTCCTCTTTTCTGATGAGAGCAACTTTTGCATCTCATTTGGAAACCAAGGACCCAGAGTGTGGAGGAAGAATGGAGAGGCACACACTGCAAGATGCTTGAAGTCCAGTGTGAAGTTTCCACAGTCTGTGTTGATTTGGGGAGCCATGTCATCCGCTGGTGTTGGTCCACTGTGCTTCATTAAGTCCAGGGTCAACGCAGCCATCTACCAGGAGATTTTGGAGCACTTCATGCTTCCTTCCGCAGACGAGCTTTATGGGGATGCTGACTTCATTTTCCAGCAGGATTTGGCACCTGCCCAGACTACCAAAAGCACCAAAACCTGGTTCAATGACCGTGGGAGTCCTGTGCTTGATTGGCCAGCAAACTCACCTGACCTGAACCCCATAGAGAATCTATGGGGCATTGCCAAGAGAAAGATGAGAGACATGAGACTGAACAATGCAGAAGAGCTGAAGGCCGCTATTGAAGCATCCTGGTCTTCCATAACACCTCAGCAGTGCCACAGGCTGATAGCTTCCGTGCCATGCAGCATTGAGGCAGTAATTTCTGCAATAGGGGCCCAAACCAAGTACTGAGTACATATGCGTGCTTATACTTTTCAGAGGTCCGATATTGTTCTATGTACAATCCTTGTTTTATTGATAGTAATCTAATTTTCATGAGCTGTAAACCATAATCATCTCAATTATGACAAAACACGGCTTGAACTATCTTGCTTTGCATGTAATGAGTCTATCTCATATATTAGGTTCACCTGTTAAGTTGCATTACTGAAATAAATGAACTTTTGCACGATATTCTAATTTTTTGAGTTTCACCTGTATACATACGTTATTTCCACAAAAAACATGGGCAAATTTGCCTGTCTTATTAAGGAGCATTGGACAAAGTGTCTCTCCAGTTCCCAGTAGCTTTTCAAACAAATTGACTGATAACTTAGAAGTCCTAAATCACAGCAAAGGTGAACACCATGATTCTTCCTCTTGGTAAGGCCTGGAGGACTGATGGGAGATGGCATCAGGGTTTGTTTGTTTTTAATCAGGCGTCCCCCAGGCCATGGCCTGTTTGGAACTGGGCCACAGAAGCGGCAGGTGAGCGTGCGCGCTCATGCAGCTCTACTTGCACAGGTGTCGGGTGCTTGCGCTCGTGCGCACACCTGCCACTCACACAGGACCTTCCCCTCTCCCCTCCCCAGGGCTCCCAAGCTGAAAAGGTTGGGGACCACTGCTTTAGGTGACTGCCTTTGTTATGGGGAAGGGATGCCCTTTTAATTTTTGTTCTCGTTTGTTCCTTTTTAGTGTTTGACAAACATTATATCAACCGAAATTTCGACCGGACAGGGCAGATGTCTGTGGTCATCACGCCAGGGGTGGGTGTCTTTGAAGTGGACCGGCTTCTCATGATCTTGACCAAGCAACGGATGATAGACAATGGTAAAATAACGTTATCATTTGGCCTTAGGTTGGCTCAGCCTTCCATCCTTCCCAGGTGGGTAAAAGGAGCACCCAGATTGTTGGGGGCAGGAGGCTGACTCTGTAAACCGCTTAGAGAAGGTTGGAAAGCACTGTGAAGCGGTAGATACGTCTAAGTCTTGTGGCTGTTGCTGTTAACAATTGGATAAAATCCAGTTGGTTATAGTTTTTGCCTTAGTGCTGGGGACTGGGGTTATGGGTTCCCTTCTTCCCACATTCCTCTCCATGCAAAGGCGCAGGTATGGAGAGAGCCAGAAGGTGTTTTCCCTCAGAGTTGGTTGACTTTTGTTTTGTCGTTCTGACCATCACCATCATCAACTGCTTTGAAACAACCTGGTCAACTTCGATGATTTTTCCAAAGATTTGGGGAATCAAAGCATTCCCATAAGTGAACCTGGCACTCTTCTTGGTTCTTCCTAAAGGGCTTTGAGAGAGTCAGATGCCATCAGCTTCCAGACAGGCTTGTTGTACTCGTGGCAGCAGAGTTACTTTAATCTCTCTAATCTAATTTAATTTAATCTCAATTTAATCTTTAATCTTCAGGGTAGCCTCAATGCGCAAGGGCTCTTGTCTTTCATTTGGCATGAGAAGAGCTCTATCTGAACGCTTGTCTTCTCATTCCTAACCCAGAGTGTGGAGCTGCCCTTTGCCCAGCACCACTTGCCTCTTTTCTTAGTGAGTTCTGGGCTATGCGCCTCATGGAAAATCCAAACAAAAGCTTGGAAGCCGAATAAGACCAAAGACACACCACCCACCCCGAATCGGGTGGCTCTGGGAAGATCGCATCTGAGGGCACGATGGCAGGCAAAGGCTGAATAGGCCACCTCCTATGTTGGGATACTTTATGGTAGGGATGTGCAACGCTTCAAGTCAGAAGCCAGAGTGGAGAAAATGTGGGGCACCTGCCACCCCTGAAGGGCACCTCCTTCAGGAAACTGCACCTGGCTAGATATGGGATCCCAGGAAGTACGTCTTTGATGAAAGAAGTTGCGACGGGATGCGACAGGGTGCTTCAGAGTAGGTGTGGGCTCTCTCTTTGGGCCCCCAGAAGTCACAGGTGGACAGTCCTTCTTCTCTGATGGCATGGCTGTTCTGCAGCCCAAGGAAAAGGCTATTCTGCTTCTCTTAAGGAGGTTGTCAGCCTCAAGATATCTTCACCCCTCTCTATTCTTTATTTGCTGTTATGCCATTTTCTCTTTCGGCTGCCATGAAACGGTGGGAGGGGGGAATCTTGGAAAGGAAGAAGGCAGGAGGTGTTTTGCATTCCTTTGCTGGGTTAAGAAGGGGAGGGGGGATTCTTTTCCTTAACTTTCCATTTCTTCGTTAGCCTCTGTCCTTTTCTGCACGAACTTTTATCAAAATATGTCAAGGTCACTGACAGTAGCCTCATCATCACCTGGAGATGACCACATGATCCTATTCAGAGGTTTTAATTGGAAGAATCATTTGATCCTTTGGAGGGGGGGGACAATTCTATCCTTTTGTATATGTGTTTTGCCCGCCAGTTTCTTAGTTTCGGAATTGATTCTGTTGCTACCACATCATCTTCCAGTAAAAGAATAATTCTGCTCTACACCATGGAGTCTGAGTATTTCTTTCTTGGGATTTAGAGGGAGCACAGTCTGACAGAGGTGCTTGGAGGGCTCTTCTCAATCTGCACATCCTTAATTCATCGTTGCTGACTTGTTGATTCCTTAGTAGCCTATTTCCATCTCCTCTGTAAGTCAGGGGAAAGAATTGGGTCTTTTGGAAAGTCAGATCTTAACCATCAGTAAAATAAAGTGAAATAAGGGCCGTTGTTTGTTTGTTTATGAGACACCAGTCAAAGACATGAGCATCGTATATTATCTACAAAATGGGTTTTTTTCATTGTGAGTGAGGAATTGTGAAGCTACACATTCCCTTCCCTCTTCCTAACAGAGATTTTTCATGCACGCTCTGAAAGATCTCTTCAAAAGAAGAGAGTGTTTTCACCCCCAAGGCCATAATGTGGGTGCTGGTTCCTCTTGACCCCAAGGTCCAACGATTTTCCAGAGGTCTCGGGGTTTTGATGTGATTCAAAGGTTTTCCCACAAACACAAGCATTTTTAAACTGTGCCACTAGGATGCAGTCCTTGAGTACTTTAGCTGGCAAAGTTTCTCTTCTTTTCCTTCTCATATCCTTCTTTCGGTTGCATCTCTTTGCAGGGATCGGGGTAGATCTGGTGTGCATGGGGGAGCAGCCCCTCCACGCAGTGCCGCTCTTCAAGGTAAGGCCTCCTGGCTCGGCCCGTCTTGTCTCCTTCAGCTTTCACACACACACACACCCCCCCCCCAAGGCAAAGGGCCAGCTACTTTCGTTCTTCTGCCAGAGTAAAGCTTCTGGATGAAATTTTTAAAATGTGCCCGTACGGTTGTATTTCTACCATCCTTGGCATTCGTGCAAGCAGCATGGGGTTGCAGACGTTATCAGCCTAGCTTCAAGCTTTTTTTCCTTGGGTTTTCTTCTTTCTTATTGAATAAATTGGTTGAGGAGGGAAAGGACAGGAACTCAAAAGTCCTCTGGGTTGATGGCCTTGTTGGTCACCCTGCGCCTCCATCTGAAGGCAGGTGGTATTTGGGGGAGGTTCGGTATCGGAGGGAAGGGAAAGACAGGAGACAGGAAGAGGAGCTGCAGAGAAAGACTTGAGGAGTCCTCAGTGCTTACACCTCCGTCTTCCTCGCCAGCAGAAGCCTGCTTGTTTTCCGTTGCTTCTGAGTGCCTAACACTGAGGGCCAGGAGCAGGCTTGTTTTAAACCTGGGCAGGCCACCCCCCAGCTTCTCCATCGCCTCTCAGGCTCAGCTGGTACGATTGGGACCATTGTATCCAGTATTCCAAGGGCCACAGGTTGCTGGGGCGAAGTGTCCCGGATTAAATCCTTGCCCACAAAGCATCTCTTTTGGTTCTCCAGACACCTCACAGCTGTCTGACTCCCGGTTTCTCCTTCTCGCCTCTTCTTAGCTACACAATCGCTGCAATTCTGGGGATCCTGGCTTGGGAGACGATTACAATATACCCCACTGGATCAACCACAGGTGGGCTTCCGGAATCCAGGCCGTTTGCGGCTGGGCTCTGGCAGGAGCGGGCGGTGTTGACGTGGGGCCGTCTCCCCATTGCAGCTTTGGTTTTGGGAGACCGGCCTTATCCCCCTGACTTTCCCAAGGCCCACAAACACCTCTGGCTGTCTGGTTGCCTTATTTCTTCTCTGCTTAAGATGCAGAAAGTGGATTTGGGAGGAAGCAAAAAATGATCCTGCATCTTTTGTTTTGGATCGGTTACTTTTTCCCCTCTTTCCAGAAATGATGCTGCTTCAGATATTTTTCCCCCAGCCTGTTGTGTTTTTGCCCCCATCTCTCTGCTTCCCTCTCTTTATAGTTTCTACACTTCCAAAAGTCAACTTCAGTGCAACAGTTTCACCCCAAGAATCAAACTGGCAGCTCGGAAGGTGAGTGGAGTGACCTACATGTGGAGCGCAGCCATAGCGGTGCAGCTGCACCGGCTCAGATTTCAACCCCAGGAATAATTGCCACTAGCTATTTTTAAGCACAGAATTACAATGATTGAAGGGGGAGAAATTAAAAATTCACCCTGCAGAGCAGAGGCCTGCGCAACTCGCAGAGGGGGAGAAGGCTCCGATCAATACGTGAAAAATAACTGTGACCCACAAATAATGGTTGTGCCAATTTGGCTGTTGGGCAGCTAATGATCTGGCAGCTTCCTTGGAACTGGCAGTGTCCCCGCATCCCGGTGGTGTCAGGGGCGCCCAGCACCCTGTCTGTGGGGGCAGAAGGGGCTGCCCAGAAAACCCAGTGGGGGCCAGTTTCTTGGCAGCAGCCACTTTTGGTGGCAAGAGATCGGTTATTTCAGACCATGCTGCAGAAGGCTGCTTGGTGGGCTACGTTGTGTAGGTCTGCTCTAGAATTTGTAAAGACTAATTTCAGGTTTTTTTTCTTTTTTGCGTATTAAATTTCAGCCACAGAGTGAAAAAGCCAAAAGTGGCAGGGAATCTTGTGAGTAACTCTCCTACATTGTTGCATTGTTCTTTTTAAAAGATGAGAATGAGAGGTTTTTGTCCAGCGCTTCCACTGTGCAGCTAGCAAGTTCGTCCTGAGAGGGGAGGGATTTTTTTCCATTCACTTTTTGTGTCTGAAGCCCCCTCCCCGTTTCCTCTTCTCCCCATCCCAGCATTTTCCCTCTGATGTTGCTTCCCTCCTTCTTCTCCCTCCTTGTCTTCTATCTCTTTCCTGCTTCCCCTCTCCTTCTCTTTTCTATATGGAAGAGAAAGCAGGGCGGTATTTCCATTTGCAACTAGCCCTTCTATTGCACCAGCAGTTTTCTGTATTCATGGCTTTAAAAAGGACCGTAAACAGACTCAATAAAATTGGGCACTCTGTGCCACATACAATAGCTGTTCCAACCCTGAGGTAAGGTGGGCAGCCAATAAACTTTACAAATAAATAAATGAAAATGGGCATGTCAAAGATCAGTGCACGGATATGGCAATTTAATCCCCACCTCATGCCTTGAGCCCCGCATGGAGCGTTCCAACATCTCGTACTGAGCACATTTTCCAGCCAAATGAAGTGATAATGATCGATGCAAATTATGTTAATCCTGGCACTGCCGGCCCTTGGACTGACTGGCCTGGAGTGAGGAAGCATCCCAGACCTCCCAAGAACGGCATCCTGGGACCCCGCAAGGGAGAGTCTGCACAGTTTCAGTCCTGCTGAGGCTTTTTCCCAGGATCCCCTCATGATTTTTGTCTCTGCAGTGCCCGACCTTTGTAGGCAAGGGATCCAGTCAGGCAGTCGGAGAAGGTGGAGACTTGACTCTGCCGATCTACCCCTCCACACCTCCACTCTGTTGAGCCACACGCTCCATGTTTAAGCTGGCCAAGTGGTTTTGTCAGTTGGGTTTGTCCACCCCCTGGGACCCAGCTCTTAGAAGGCCCCCCAGTCACAGGCTGGTCTGCTTGTTGTGTTCCAGCCTTGGGAGCTCCTAAGGAGACCGAGAATGCTCTTCCCATTCAAGTGGACTACGACGCCTACGATGCCCAGGTGTTCCACCTGCCCGGCCCCTCCAGAGCCCTGCGTTGCACCACCTTCAGGTGAGCCAGCGTGTTGCCAAGCTTAGGTGATTCCACTGGGGGAAAAGAGAGGCAAAACTTTATTTCTGAGTACAAGAATTAAAAATACTGGGTAAGGTAGGAAGAGTCTGAGATCTGGGGACCAGTAATGAGGAGACGGCTTCGTGGAGGACAGAAACTTGCTGTGTTCCACTCTTGCTGAACAACTCTCCCAACAGCAACGTCTTGTCCCAGCTTCTGTCTTCTCCCAGTCCCACTTGGCCTACTGGCTCCAGGTTCCATGCTGAATTGCAGGGCAGGCACTGATCAACAGGATGGGTCCAGGAAGGCAGTTTTCAGTGGGCAGGGTGGAAAAATGGTGGGGTGGGTTTTTCTACACCACAGAGGATTAAGGGAGGCAGACACTCTGGTCTTCCAAGTACTGCGAGTGTTCGCCTGCAGGAGACCAAGGAGGAAGAGAACCTTCCAAATTCTAGGAGAAACATCCTGACAGTAATGGTAGTTCAGTTGGAAACAGAGTTCCCCGAGAGCTGGTGGGTTGTCTCTCATTGGAGATCATTTAAGCAAAGGATGGACTGGGGAATTTGGAAACGGCATCCTACCTTGGGCAGGGAGCTGGAGAGGATCGATGTTGCGGTTTGCTGTGCGATGCCATCAAAACCTGGCAGTCTCCTTGATCCATTGTACAGGCCTCCTCACCCCGCATGACCTGCTCCTAGTGTCAGGGTTTCAGTTAACACCCCCAACAGAATCAATGCTCCAAAGCAGGCATCTTCCTCGAAGCATAGGTTTATTAGGCATGTCACATTGGCACATCTGGGGGGAAACCCGGCTCTGAGGACTGGAGGCTTTCCCCACCCAAATCAAACCCCAAAGGTCTTCCCCTCCAGTCACACGTCCATCACGTGGCCCAACCAGGGTTGCAGCCACTATCTTGGCTGGCTTTGGTCCACGCTTGTCCCAACACTGGTAGAACGTCCTCGGCTCCCACGGGAAAGAACGTTATTTTGGCTACACATCCCCCAGCTATCCACAGCTCCAGCTGGCCTGGCTGTGGCAGCCCTGAAGACACTCCCAGAATGGCTCCAGCGTAAAAAATGGCTGACACCTTGTGGGTTTCCCAGCAGGCCTCTACGGGAGAGAGAGAGCCGGCCCTGGAAGACCTCCAGCTCCTACGATGCCTCCTCCAGCCCCTCCATGCAGAGTCGGCCCCTGCCCCCCGAAGAGGTCCGGAGCCAGGCTTCAGATGACAGCTCTCTGGGGAGAATCTCGGACATCCTCGTGATCCCCCGGCCCCACCTGCACCTGCAGTACGAAGTCAGCAGCTCTTTGGGCTACACCAGCAGCCGAGGTCAGCACAAGGCTCGGGGCAGCGGAGCTGGTCACTTCTTTGGAGTTGGGGCTCTGCGTTTTGTCAACCTTTAAGGTCCCAAAGGTGCTTTTTCAGGAGGCAACTGGACTTTGTTTTTTTCTTTTGAGGACATTTCGCTTCTCATCCAAGAAGCTTCTTCAGCTCTAACAGAATAGTGGGGAATGGAAGGATTTATATTCCTTGCAGACAGCTGGTCATTTGCATCCTTTCACTGGGTCCTTGAAGCACTTGGAGGTTTATCTGGTCCTCAGGGTCACCTTAGTAGTGCTAATGGTTCCTTATCTGCAATTTTTCCTGGTTCCTGTAGTCTGCGGTGGAAAGAAAAATTGCAGACTACAGGAAGCATGTGACCTTGAGGACCAGATAAACCTGCAAGTGCTTCAAGGACCTCGAAAAGGATGCAAATGACCAGCTGTCTGCAAGGAATATAAATCCTTGGTGCTGCATAAAAGGATGCACTAAAGAGGATGGTCTTTAGCCCTCGCAGAGACCGACTGGCTCCTGTTTTGCTGCCTTGGAAGAGCTCCTTGCTTCAAATCAGCGCCGGATCTTTGGGAGCTCCTGGAATTTCCTTATTGAAGATGAGTTTTTTCCCCCCCCTCACAGATCACCTTGAGAACATGTTGGAGTCTCAGCAGCGAGACTCGAGCGCCCCTGGGAGATTTCACGTGGGGAGTGCCGAGTCCCGGCTGCACATCCGCTCTGCCGGGGGGGGATACACACCACAGCGGGCGCTGATCAACCCTTTCGCCCCTTCCCGGATGCCCATGAAACTCACGTCCAACAGGAGGCGCTGGATGCACACGTTTCCCGTGGGTAAGGAACTCCTCTTTGATCTTTATTGGTGTGCGTAGTTGTGTAATAGGCAACATCTTCTTTAGGGGGCTTCTGCCAACCATAGGGGTTCTGCAACCGACTTGGTTTGCTGTGCTTTTTCTTCTGTGGTTAGAGTTGCTTCTGTTGTCATACTCTCTGAGACCCAGAGCCCAGTCAGGAAAGCTTGAGTTGATTGATTGATTGATTGATTGCCTATGTGCCATCAAGCTGTTGTCCGCTCTTAGCAAGCACATGAATAGGTTTTCTCCAAGATGCTTTCCCCCCCCAATCAAATCAAACCTTTTGTGATGACCCAGGGTGGGATACAAAATAAAGTCCCCAAAACAGATGAAGCCCCTTTTATTCCTTCACTTTGCTGCAAAGCTGCAAATATCCTTGACTGGAGACAAAAAACTCCCCCACAAACAGTTACGGAAAGGAGGAAACGCCGTTTAAACTAAAAATGCTTATAAATTATAAAGAGTAAAAACCACACAAACCACACTGAAACAATTAAGGGAACCAGGCGAGATAAAGGCTTGAAGACGTCCACAGATATCGGAACACACACTGGGAAGGACGCCAAACTCAGATAGGAACGGATAGACTAGAGATATTTCCACGCTTTGTTTCCAGCACTGGTCCATACGCATATCCATCCTTTTAACCAGTTCTGGCATCTTCCCAACTGTGTGAGTGTTTTTGTCATGCTTTCAAGTCTGAAATTCTTGCTCCTGCCCTGCCAAACTAATTACTTCAGTTTG